GTCCTCTGGGTGAAACTGTAAGGTTAGGACTTGTAAGAAGACACTGTCATGTCAGCAAGTTGCCCTCACAATGCCATCATCTCCCTTTTTCATTGTCTTTCTCCATCCTCTTGTCTTTCGTTGGGGGAAGGTCACATGACTGAATTGATCCCCCTGTAACACACTCTGCTTTCTCTTTCGCACACACATCAAATCAGACTTTATTTGTATAGCCCAATATCAGAAAACACTCAGTGGGCAAACAAAATGTAAAAGAACTTGAAATGTTAGTACAAAAACATGACTTCTCTCTGGTCTGTGAAGGCCCGGACACACCAATCTGACACCAAAGAACACGTCCCCACGGACCCGACTGTTGTGTCGCCTCGAGTCTCTGCGTCTTGGCCATGTGTCGCACTGGAACACACCTACATCTATCAGCATCTATCGACATCTATCGACGCCGAAAACCGGTGTGTCCGGGCCTTTAGTTGTCTAATGGTTGCAGATCAACTGTCTTATAATCCAGGGAGACCCTTTAGGACAGGGGTGGGGAACCACAACATTAGGAGATCTATGGATACATCTCTCAACATCCATATGAAACAGAACTGGAAGCAGATTTATTTTTTCTTTATGTATATTTTACAAATCACTCCCCTTTCAAACTGTATTCTTGTTTATTAATAACAACTTTTATTTACTGTCATATAGTATTTTATACCTGTTTACTTTATTCTCTTGTTTTTTAGAACTATAATGATCATATAAAGATGTGCCTTTACCTCACTGGTTGGAGAAAAAGCTTCTTATATTCGTTAGCATAGCTAGCTAACCAGATGCTAATAACAACAAAGTTATTGACTGTATGATCAGCATGACAGATGAACAGATCGCCACTGGGCTTTCAACTAAAGACACAGCCACGCAGAAACTGCGGCNGAGGACTCTCCCTCTCCTTATTGTTGAAACAGCTTCTAATCTCCGTTAGCTCCGAGCTAGCACCAGATGCTAACAACCCCCTAACTCTCTCTGTCTCTCTCTCTCTTTCTAGCTCTCTCTCACAAGATGCGCTTGTGCCACACACACACAGACGCTCCTCCGTGACGATGACCGCTTGCGTAAAACATTTATAATAAACACATTTAAAAAGTGGGGGGGACACAAATGGGATTTTGAAAAGTGGGGGGGACATGTCCCCCCTGTCCCCAGTGGAAATTACGCCCATGGCTACGCAAATATGCAGGGCCGCCGCTTGCGGACAGGCAAGGCAGGCAACTGCTTGGGGCCCCGGACCAGAAGGGGGCCCCCAAAGAAGCTAGATTAAGAAGGTCCACAGCAACGACAACATGAAACACCCTTTAATTTACTGCAACGACATGTCGGGAAACCCCCTCAAGGCGGCCCCATGCATAGCGCGCCGTGAAATGCTGCTTCTTATCTTAAGTTTCGTTACCTTGGAAGGGGGGTTCGTTTATGAACAACTTGAAATAACTAAAGGATAAGTTAAAAAAGAAAGTAAACAAAAAGTGAGGTCAAAGATAAATATTTCTGCTAAAAAGTTAACAATGATTGAGAGTCAGACCTCAACATTTCAGATGTGTGTATCTCACACTGCACTGTAACTTTAATTACCTTTGTTATTCATGTTTTATTATCTTTGCTTTTAAATGTGTTTTTAAATGCCATTTTATAGTATGTTTCTAAATGCTCTCAATGTCTTTTATTTTTGTAAAGCACTTTGAATTGTCTTGTGTTGAAAGGTGCTAAGTAATACATTTAAATTGCCTTACAGCTGAAAGCTACAGCGCAGAGATGCATGCTTATGGGGAAGCTTTTTTTTCTTCCTACCAGCAGTTTGTGCTCTTTGCGGTTGATGATGACGGCAGTTATCTGTTGGTCCATGAAGATGAGGATGGTGCAGAGAAGAGCAGGGATGGATGCAGCCAGGACGGTCCACCATGGGTTGCGTCCTATTGGATTGATTAACCAACCTCGGTCGTCTCTGGTCGGCTGGAGGATCACATTAAAGAGGAGTGAGTCCATGATTCCACCATAGCAATGTTGTGTTTTATATCAAGGTCCACATTGTGATAATAAAACATATATACCTTGAATTTGTTGGGCACCTTCAACTTCTGTGAGGGCACTCCAACCGCATAATCAAGCAGAACCATGACGGCAATGGTGAGGAAAACAGCAAAGTCGCTGATCATGGAACGCACCTGGGAACAGGAGACAACACCCAGAGACTGTTGGTTATTACTGTGGCAGGATTTATTTTTTCCACCCTGTTAAGAGGACTACATTTACTTTGTAGGTAGGGTTGAATAAAATGACCTAGAGTGCATTGTCAGGTATGTGAATGTCCGGTGACAACTTTGATTAGAGAGCAATCATATTGGTTAATTACCTTGGTGGGGAAATAACGACTTGTCTTAAAGTCTTTGAGGAACGCAGACAATAAGAAGGTCGAGAAGAACAAGATGGTTGACCAAAAGAGAACATCTGGGGTGTAGGGGCCATGGGGGCCACATGATGTCCCGACAAATTGGCCGTTCAGACTGATACACTCCTGTAGAGATTCACAAAGGGTTAACACAAATTCAGATTACTTAAGAAAAATGATCAAAATACAAAGCACAAAAAACACAATACAGTAGAATCAACACAAGCCTTTTGTGCGGCCTGTTAAACGCACATCAGTGGACAGTTAATCAGTTGAATGTCCTTGTCAGTGTTTGCAGTGTCCTTAAGAGAGGTCAGCTGCTGCAGGGAAGGTGAGGGGGTTAGTTGAATGTTAACAAAGGCACAAACGTTGGAGCGAAAGCAGTGTTTGCCATCAAGGTGGAAGTGACACTGAGATCAGGCCCTTATGTTAATGTTGTGTGTGTTTCCACATAGTCACGGTACCTTGACAGTAAGGTTGGTCCAGGATAGGGCTGAGGCTGTGACGTTCCTCTCACTCCACAGATCTAAGGTTTTATTAGTGGGGTTGTCAGGCTCTGCACACCTACAGCTACACAGAGAGAGAGACAGCACAACACACGAGGAATCTGAATGTTCTTCTTACAGAAAATGATGGGCTTGTTTGCTTTTCTCCCTTTAATGAGGCCAGACATAAAGGGAATTGTCGGCTTATAGAGGACAACAGCAGAATGTGACATAGAGATGCTTGCAATGAGAAAATGACAGCTATATATTATTAAGGAACAATAAAAAATCTACCAGGTGAGCTGGCTTATGAACATTTTGTAACTTACTACGCAAGAGTTAGTTTGTCCAGATTGCTTTCTACATTAAAGGGGTAAACCTCTCCCAGGTGGATGAGCTTCTCCAAGGCCTCGTAGATGAAGATGAGGCAGATGAGGGCGGCAAAGGCCTCTTCTGTGAACCGAGTGATGTAGCACACCAGAGAGCTGGCATCAGTGGCAACCAACAGCAAACAAAGCAGAGCCGTCCACAGGCCGATGCAAGTCCTCAGCGACAGATATGAAAGGTCGTAGTCCCTGATGTGAAGAAAAGAGAGGATGAAAGGGAATACATAATCGTTGAGATCAGGACAGCACCTGTGATAATGAAAATGTCAGGTTGCAATACATACTTGCAGAACTTGAAGAGGATTTTCTCAAAAACCAGCACAGGACCTGTGCTGCCCAGAATGGTGAGAGGCTGACCAGCAAACACAGAGTAGGCTACTCCAGTCATAGACGCACCAAGTAAGGACTCTATGGCACTCTACAAAACAAAGCAGAACAACAAAGTGTATTTCCCATATTCTGAATCTAATCACATTGCAGTGAGTGTGTTTGTGCTCTTACAATGCGTCCCTCTGTCGCCTCCCCCAACAGACCTCCGAAGGTGATGACAGGAGACATGCAGGCACAGTAGAGGAAGAGGAAGGAGGCCACACACTGCAGGCTCATACCGTCCTTAAAGTCACTCAGGTAGAATGGAGCTTTCCTCTTGATGTCAAGTATCAGACCTCCAAACAACCTGATCACGGCACAACAACAAAACAATAGAGGGGCTCCAATTTCACATCTGGTGCAGAGGTACCAAAACCACCAATGTCGGGTGCTTTGAGGCAACTGTAACTAAGGTACTTTGTAAACAAAGGAAAACCTGCATATTTTTTGGTTTGTTCAGCATTTTCAAAAAACAAAACATTACTTCATCAAGGTGAAAAGTTAAACCACTGGGGATACGCAATAAACTATAAACTGTTTGTGTTTTAGGTTATCACACTTTTCATTTGCTTGCCCCACCTCAGTTTCTAACAAATCCACATTTAGTTTTGGCGGCCACAGAAACTGACAGACATGGTGGGGAGTGATAACTCAGCAGGCTTTCACACATCACTCAGAAAACATAACAGGTGCTAAGTCAATGTTATCCCAAGGCTGTTTTTAAAACATCATATCCTCATTTTCTTTCCATCTTTCTTTTGGAGTTTGGCTTTTGTATTTCAAATGAATACAGTAAGGGCAATTAGCACCATTACTGAAGCAACAATCCTGTGTGATTAACTTGCAAATTACAGCTTACCTTCCAGTCCTCTGCAGCTCTGGCCCGTGGTGCTCAGCGTGAAGTTCTTCTTCTACCTGGCTGGATGTGCCGTTAGGGACTCCTGCCATCTTTCTCTTCTCCTGCAGACATCCAATAACAGACATAATCCATAAGACAAATAAAAAATAGCTTGATGCATAAGTATACACCCACTCTTGCAGCAAATCAAATGTGTAGCTTGAACCTGAGGAGTATTTGTATATATGTCTTTATTTAAGAAGGGACAATGCAGAGAAGTAAGTCGTGTTGAGATCATAGTTGTGTACCTGAGAGGGGACACTCTTTGGGGGCTCGATGCGGATGGAGGGGTCCCACTCTCCTGGTGGTAGGACCGTCACCTGGTCCAAAAATTCATCTATCCCGGCCAGCAGGTCACTTCTGTCCTTTGCTTTGTAGGCTACATCATGGAAGATCTGGTTCCAGAAAAAACGTAAAGGACAGAGTAAATTGAACTGCCTGCCATCACAACACAGATGTTAGGATTGTATTCGCTATGTGAGGGTTTCTGGAGATGTAATTTAATGAGCGTTCTTACTTCATCTGTCATGATGGTTGCCATGGAGCGTCCAATTTCATGGTATTGCTGAGCCTTTCCATCCGGGCCCAGCAGAATAAAGAGGAACCTGACATTTAAAAGCAGATGATTTAAAGGGGACCTATCATGCAAAATGCACTTTTGTACGTCTTTTACACATGAATATGTGTCCCCGGTGTGTCAGGGAACTCACCAAGTGTCAGAAAACATAACCCTCTCTCTTTTCCTCCATACCCAAATCTCTAAAAACGGGGCTGCAACGGATCTGATACAGACTGATACAGATTTGAAATATCTCTGACGTCAGAAACATATATGGGCAACTCTCCACCTATCAGGGGAATGAGAGGTTGCCGTGGGATGGTAACAGCATGGTAACATGACGCTCGTGCCACGCCCCCCTCCTTTGCAGGGGGGCGTGGTCAGCTGCAGCTCATTTGCCACAGAATCAGCCCTTGTGAAGACAGGGCTGGAATACAGCAAATAGAGCGAACATGATCTGTTTGGTATTTTGAAAAAAAAACTTCACAGACATGTTTTGTATAGGTATGGCCCTACAATATATTATTCAAATATAGCATGATAGGTCCACTTTAAAGTATGGAAGTCATCCTGGGTTATTGACTTCACAAATGATATGACTAAACTGTTGTATATGTGGCTCTACCTGGTAGGAATGGGGACCTCGGTGAGCCCGGTGAGCAGCACAGCAGGGGAGAGGCGGACAAAGGCCACAATGGGCCTCTCCAGGAAGTCCAGTTCTCCCACCAGTACATTAGAGGCCTCTGCACCCTCTGGGATCTTCTTCATGAAGTGCATGTCCACCTGGTGAGACAAGGCAGAAGTTGATATCGGTACACTGATATCACTGTATACTATAACCAAATCCAGTGCTCACAGAAATGTCTTCAATCAATGTCTCCAAAAGTGTTATATCAAATTCCCCCACCATAGGAGCAGCCTAATGCCAGAAAATCTAGCAAGCATTGCAGTCCTAGAATTATTAAACTTTACAGATATGCAAACCCTGGTGAAAATTCAGTGGGTGTGATGCACTTTGTACATATTTAGTTATCTTGTAGTTTCATATGCGGCAACATGTGATCTAATTGTTGACAGCACATCAAACACAGCAGGGTGCTGGAGTACAGCCTGACTGCTGATGTTGCCTGATTTTTAGATTTTCTCCTTTTTATTGTGATTTTTTGAGCGGAATTTAGCAAAAATAAATATTCATTTTTGGTCTTCACAGGCTTCCATCCATATCCATAAACAGTGTGCAAACTGTACACGTGTAAGAGTGTCTGCATGTTAACCTTGCTGAGGTCCACATGGCTGTCATGCCCGCCCCCGTTTTTGGCAATGTCGGTAGCTGATGGAGGCTGGGGAGATGTGGCTGACCCTGCTAGATAGTGAGGGTGTGAGATTGTAGCAAATAAGAGTTAGTACACATATCTTTTGGTCTCCAGAGTGCAGAGTGAAGTAAACTAAGTGCAATAATGGTTTACAGCCAATATAGCCCATTTCCTCAGGAACAGGTTATAGCTGTCTGTCCCTTGAAGTATTATGTATCTCTGTTAAAATAATCAAGCTTTTCTATTCGTCTTAATGTTACTTTTAGTCTCATCGTGTCAGCTTTTATTACCTACTTTTTCTCCATATATTATTCTGATAGAAAATTCGATTTCTTAGTCTTTCCAATTGATGAAATCTCATATTTCTAAGATATTGCCCTGATTATTTAGCCATATTCAAGTAATCCTTGCCAGTCGATATGTACATAATGAATGAATGAAACATGTGTTTGCAAGGTGGTGTACGGTGGGAAAGCCACCTGTCAGGAGGGGCTCTGACTGTTTGCGGGTTCCCTCAGCGATAGAGCGGACCATGGGCATCAGGTTCTTCTTCTTATCACTCTGGTGGTGGTGTCTCTTCAGCAGAGCCTCACGCACCTTCACTCTCACACTTTCGTCCATTTCATTGGACGTCTCCTGGTGGTCCAGAACCATGTCTGCAACATGCGGACAAAAACACAAACACATGCTCACTTTAATGAACGAAAATGTCACCAAAGTTAGTATGTCTTTTTTTGTTGCCGGATAGCCTTTGTTGGAGATGACAGTGTTTAAAAGGGAAGACAGAGGAGATGACATGAGTACATGGTTCCAAACCGGATTCGAACCTGGTTCCTCCGCACAGGGACTGAGCCCCAATACATGGGCTGCCAGCTCTACCAGGTGAGTTATACGTCAGCCCGAAAATAAGACTTTATTAAATGAAAAGCATCAGACAGCTTTTATTTGTATGTGATTGTGCTATTTCGACCAGAATCTTGAATTCATTTATTATCAATGAGAAAAAGCACCTAGTTAAAAAAAAAACCTTATGCACTGATCAATCTTTCTTAAACTATGAAATATTTCCTTTTTTTTTGTATTTCCGTAGTTAAAATTGAATAATTTGTCAATGTTTTAAGGCACACTGAAGCAGAAAGTGAACGTTGGCAGTGGTCAATATGTGGCCAGCTTTCAGGCCATGTGGGACCGAAGAGAATAATCTCCATCTCTTTAGCTCTCTCCTCCTTCCTTTTTGTTCATACTGACTTGCTGAGTCTGCACTGAATCTTTCCTTCCTCCCTTCCTTCCCTCCTCAACAGTCAATCAAAGTGTCTGCCGACACACACAAACACACATTGCAGTGCTTGCATTAATTCTGAGCACACTTCAAGGCCAGCGCTAATGTGTGTCAGGCTTTGAGCCAGGCCTTTAATGAGCCATGTTAATAAGGACAGTGACAAGGGAACCGCCTTGAAATAAAATCAAAACCCACAAATGTAAAATGGTTAATCTAACGTAGCCTCCACTCACACTTCTTAGATTGATATGGATCGTGTTCCGTCTGATTTAAGACCGCAGCAACAGCTCTGCCTCCTCCAGTCTATCACTTGACTGGTGACCATACATTACTCATATGACAATGAGATCCATTCAGTCATGTGTCGTGTTGAAAAAACTGGTCTATGGATTACAAAATGCATTCAATGCAACTTCAGGCATTTTCTATAACATTCTCTTGGTCTCAGATTGCCACACTTGAAAATCAAATCATGTTAAGAATTATGGACTCTTTGGTCACCACTCTTTTTCCATCTTGGCGGCTGTTTAGAGGCCAGGTGCTGCTGGCAGGAGTCATATGGAGAAGAGAGGGAAGTGAGAGGAGCGACGGAGAGCTGCAGAAGAGGGAAGACTGAAGGGAACGAGGCTGTCCACGCTGCAAAGCTGTCATAATGTGACCGTGAGGAAGACTGATGGAGGGCCTTGAACCGTGTGATCTTTTGTGCGCTTGTGTTAGTGTGGCGAATGGACAGGGAAGTGGATCATAATTTACAAACCATTCTTTGCATTTGTACAATTCTGTTTAATGTTTACATTTAAACTGTGTTCAAATGTGTGAGCGTCTGTGTTAATGTTTGCATTTGTCTATAAATCATCTATACAACTTTCAGATTGTCAGAACGATTGACTTACAAGGCCGGGGCTTAACCAATTGTATGCTTTCATGCAAATGACTTGTACATAGTTATATGCAAATGAGCTTGAACTCTGGCAGCTTTATCTAATGGTAGATTTGTTTATGCAAATCAGGTTCAACAGAAGTTCAGCTGCATTATATCAGGAAAACAGAGCGACCATACAGTTTGCTCAGCTTAGTATCTAGGACTTGACTTTATGTATGGACACAGGTCAATTATGTTTATGTTTACATCTCAAGATAGAAATTAAAAGTCTTATATGACTGATCATTTGTTTGTCTAATTGTATTTCTTCATCCCGCAGGATGACAATGCTCCCTGCGGGCCTGAAATGTGGGTGTGTGTCTCCTCTCTTAGGAGGATAAATGGATTTGTAGGAGTTATCCAGCGGGCATCCCGAATCAGAAATAGAGCCTGGTTTGTATCAATGACAGTTATATTCACTCAAGGGCATGAATTGACTTTAGAGAGCATAGAACTAAGAGACAGGAGAACAACTTTGAATCATGAACCCATTTGAATAAGCGACGCCAGTCACTTGAGTCAACAACAGAAAAATGATTTCCTTTAATATCCGAAGAATTGTCAGACACAGCTTTCCTTTATCTCTCGGAATAGACAGCAGTCTGGCTCTGAGATGTTAATAAGTGTCAGTCGGAAAGATTCTCACCTGCAATCTCTTCGATGCTGTCAGCGTGCATGTCAAGCAACACGGTGCCATTGATGAGGCAGCTGCGCAGCTCAAACAGGCTGTGCAGGGAGAGAGTAGCAACATAGGGCTTGCTCCACCTCTCCCCTCCATCCTCCACATCTTCCTCAAACTTCAGCCACCTGCGAGGTAAAGACAGGCGAGACGTTTGCAAGTGGGAGTAAATGTGAAGTGTTTTCACCTTTGTCTTTCATTTAAATTGTATCTTTCAAATGTCTTACAATTGTAATGCTTTTAAATCTAGGACAGCTCAAGAGTGTTGGGGGAATACTTTCCTAGGCCCATAACTTTGACCCAGTTTATCAGTTTGAACGACCTCACTGAGCACAGGCCTGCAACCTTGGGCTGCTGTGCTCTCAGTGTCTCCCTGTTCCTGCCTGCTGGCGTCAGCTGATAGAGGTGTTATAGCGCTCTGCCTGTTTTATCTTGGTATGCAGCATGTTGATTATTCTCTCAAAACTAGCCAAATACATGGGTCTTGGGTAGAGATCTTCAGAATTGGTTTGGCAACCGCTGTGACACCTTGTGGCACAGTACATGTCTTGTGAATTCTACGGCCGATATTTATTTAATCAGCAAGGTTGTTTATCTTTTTTTGATCGTCTATATTAGGACATGTTAAAGGCTAGTGAAGATATCACAAATTGAATTTTGAAAAATAAAAAATAAAAATGAACACATTGCTAAGAATAAACAAAAAAAGAATAACCAATATCTAAGATGTATCACAAATCCCTCTGATTGGCTATTTCTACATGATTGTGTATTTTATTTTTTTAAATGTTATTCCTACACTTCATGTTGGCCTTTACTTTTACATCTTTTACCCTGACTACATACTTTCGTCACAGGAAAGGTGTTTTCATGTACCGTAAATATCAACCACAGAATATTAGGGACAGGTTTGACATTATTGACTTGATTAGCATGAATGTTTTGTGCCCCCTCTTCTCTTTTACCTCGAGCTAACTGACTTAACTCCACTGAGCTTTACATTTACTACCACTTGTACAAGCCTCTCTTGGTCACAGTACAGCTGCTGGGCTGTCAGAAATGTTATTGCTAAGCTTTTTTGCCAACAGCTCCCGGAGGAGACCCTGACCTGGCAGTTTCCTTCCACTCAGCATCCTTGCCGTCCTTCACACAGATTTCATCCAGCTCAGTGAAGAGCTCGTGGGCCACATGTTCAGCATCCTCCTCTGTGCCCAGAATGAACTGGACCCGCTGGGACGGCGTGTCTGAGGAAGGGAGAGGATTTGAGGATGGAACAAATGGTTAACTGAGGTTCTCAAAAACACTTTCACAAGCACAAACAACACTGTTTGCACTGTCATAGTGTGTCACCTAAATGACCACTGGGTCTATAGAATCACACACTAGTCTACCCAAGCACATGTACACACACATGCAACTTGCTGACTAGTTCCTGCTCTTTGGTTTCTAATTAGTGGGCTTGTCAATTTTAGCCAGAGGCTGTGTGTGCAAATGGGTGAAGTCCCCACAGTATTGACAGGCGTTGTATAGCAACAGTTACCTCCTCTCTGGGAGGTGGAAGTATGCACACACTGAACCATGGCAAAAAGTCTATTTTTGTTTCTCTCTATGTTTAATGATTGAATGAGTCAAAAGATGACTCTATTTGAAAGGGAAATTAGTTGCCTTAGAAGAGGTTGTATACAGTATGTGTATTACCATGACTGGCGGAGGCCGTCTCACTTTCCTCACTCTGATTGGTTGCGATACTTCCTGCCCTTTTGTCTCTCTTGCGGTGGCGGGAGCCGTGGGTCTTGTGGTGGCGGTGGCTCTGTCTGGGCATCCGAACCCCCACAAACAGAGCCCTGTGACCTGACAAAGAGGCAAGGGAAGAGATCTGACTTGTATTACTGTGTAATACTTTTATACACATTCATGATGTCATCATTTACTGTAAAATAATAATTTGCAACTAAAGTTTACCATAAAATATTATGTTCAATAGATAATTGTAAAAAAACATGAAACATCATTGTAGTGATGTTTATGAACATAAAGGTCCTGAAGGGTTCAGTAACAAAGAAATTATAGAAAAAAAACACAGTCTTTTACTTTGACTTCTCAGCAACAATAAAACCCTGGTACAAACATTCCTAATTGGTTCACATTCAAATTTGCCTGCACTATATCCTTGCTTTAGACATCTTCTGTTAATTTGGCATTTTTTTACAACGTATGACGGCAGTTAGTCCCATATAATGTCAAATATGTTTTTCTGGTGTTCTGATGAGATTATACTTGTTTTTATAAGGATAATTTACCTATCCAGATTGACCAGCTGCTAATGGTGGGAAGCAGATTTGATTAAGGTGTACTTTTTGTCTCCGCTCAGATGGTTAAAATGAATCAAAGTGAAAGTCATTAAACTGAGGGTTAGGTGTTATATTAAAGCAGAGAACAAATGCTGTGCCTCAATGTTGGTACTTACACTTGCAAATCTGCCCGCTATGGCATCCTGATTATTAAGTACTACAGCCAAGAAATCTGAAACGATGGACCAGAAAAGTCCATCCTCAATGATCGCCAACTGCAGGTTGCTCCATTAAACACAGCAATAAAATTTGCACTAAATGCCTTTTTAATAATGTATTTATGCTTTATTTGTTCCTTTTGCTTTTAATCCGTAAAGCACTTTGAATCGCCACGTGTTGAAAAGTGCTATATAAATAAAATTGCCTTGCCTTACATGTGTTTTTTCTTCACTGTATTTAATACGCGTACCATTGCACTGATATCGAAAATGGAAGCCATGATCAATCTGTGAATTAATTATTCTTTAATGACAGTGACTTAGTAATGCAAACAAAAACATAACTAGCTAAGCGCTGTGATGGTCCCTTCTGGCTGGTGCACGGCAGCAGCTTCAGATTTTAGTCAACGTTAGACGTCAAAAGTATAAAATGTGTTCACTGTATTATAGGTTGGTACTACATGGCAGTTCAAGGGAAGTGTCTGAATTGAGAAACACACTTCGCTACCTGTTCCTTATTACTCCTAACCTCTGCCATCTGTAAATAACTCCAGTGCACACTGTGCTACTCACCTTCTAGTTCCTCCTTCTCATAGTGGATGTTCAGTACTGAGCTGGTTCCTCCCTGGTCTACCACCACCTCCTCATCGGGCCTCTGGTGGACACACACATACACATGTAAGTAGAATAGGACTGTTCCTTTCTTTAATGATGTTCACAGCAGATGACACGTTTCTTTACAACCCCCTTTTATCTCCATCATACATAATTTTCCTTTTGGAAAATGTAAAACATATTCGGCCTTTCAAGATCAGTCCGTGAAAAGAAAACTGATAAGGTCATTAAGTCCTGCCAATAATTGGCCAAGCTGGCAATAGATTTTCAACAATGCGTTTCAACACACACACACACACACACACACACACACACACACACACACACACACACACACACACACACACACACACACACACACACACATCCATTTAAACACACACTGAGTAGTTGGAGAAGATGCTAGACTCCAATATCGAGGGGAAAATCAAATCAAATTAGCGGAGAGTCACATCCATCAGACCTGTTGCTGTGGGCAGACTGCTGCAGGATGTTGTGTGTTTCAGTATCCCAGTGATGAAGCGTTGTCAGAAGAGTTATTTTTGCCAGAAGTGTTAGTTGCATAGTCATGTATTGGCCCTATGATAATGAGGGCAATGGGCTGCAGGCACCTCCTCAGTCACTTCGGAGCTCTACACTGCCGCAGTGTCTCTGTTTTTAGGATAGCAATTCATCTGTCAAGTGCATGCAACATTTAATGTTTCATTTTTAATCTCTGTGAACCTCCCACATGCTGTTAAAGATGCTATACCACTACATGAGAAGGACTAGGTCCAATCGTTTTCTGACAGAAATCTAGCACTTGACACGGGTAGGATGATTGACATACACCTGCATGTTGCATTAGTTTTTAAAAGTTGGCTACAGTTATTATACTCAAAAGACCACTTTAAGTTTTAAAAATAAACACTCTAAATGTTTTTCTTGTTATTTCCTGTTGCACTGTGCATGAACTCAGTTGATAGGAAGTAAAAATGGACACAAGCTGTAACCTAGCAATAAAATCTCTTTGAAAAAGTATATGGCTATAATCTATAAATACAGGCAAATGGTTAAAGGAGAAACACCAGTAAAATGTATTTATGAATGCATCTCTTTACATATTAGATGCTTCCGTCCGCTTCCTTTTCAACACATGATCTTTATGGACTAGATGTGTTAATAGTGTGTGAGGGTGGCTAATAGAAGTTGCTGTTACAGAAGATTGACATATCTGCCATTTGGCAAAACTACCAGCCACTCTTAACACATGATTAACAGAGTGTTGTACTCCTTGGAAAAATGGGAATCAATTTGGAAATTACATTTTTCTTCATCACTAAATGGATACAGTGAAACATTGTAAAGAAAACAAGATAGGTCAACAATGTAACTCACAGTTTGCTCACAGCTGTGCATGTAACATGTACATGTGTGAGTGTTCATCAAAAGATGGATGTGTGATTGACGACAGCCCAATAAATAAGTCTCCATTTGAGAGAGAACACTGAGGGGCAAATGTTGAAGATCTACAGTCTCTGTCATGCAGTCTTTTACTTTAATTGGTCAGTCCAATATTCAGCAAGCAGCTAACGCAGCACACACTGCGGCTGCTGCATAACGGCCACAGGAGCAAAAATAACTGCAATTTGTCTTCCAGAAGCGCTTTTGGCAAGAGCTAAGGGTTTCTATTTGAGTGCAAAGAAAAATTTCTCGGTCTGTCAGAGTAGCATCGTCATATTTTCGGATGAAAGAAAACACTATATGTGTATGTTTGGCGCTTGAGAAATATAAAACCATATGTCCTTATAAGGAGAGTGATTGGTTCCTTTTTAAAGATAAATGTTAAGGTCATACAGTATAACAACATTTGCACTAAAGTGACCTGTAAATGTGTGACTGTGTGTAATACTGTAAGTGTGAATATGGAGCAAGAATGAGCAGTGATTTGTCTTAGTTCTCCTGGGGTTCGGCTGATAAAACACCACGCACAGTTTATTGACAGAATCATCATGCTGGTTTCCGCCTGCAGTTATATAATGTTATAAATGAGGTTGGTGCTTTGTGTGTGTGTGCGTGTGAGTGTGTGTGTATCTATGATATTTAGTTCAGACTTAATTCACGCACAAACTGAAGTCCCTAAGCTGTTTTTCTATCTTCTGTCTGATTCCTTTAGCCTCTCCATGCTTCAAAAAACAGCTAAGCATATTAACACAAGATTGTGATAGGAGAAAAACAAATTAACATGCAGTACAGACTGATTCATGTCTTGCCTGATTAGAGGCAACAATGTATATCCAAAAAGTTTTCTGTAATTAAACCAACTGCTCTATTGTCAGCTCACACGGCCAATTACAATTCACAGTTTAAAACAGTTTTGGGATCCCAAGACATCCACTTATTTCACAGGTGTGGGTGGCCTTGCTTGGCCTTCCTGCCTTTCTTTCACACCCTCTCCACCATATCAATGCTTGGGGATTTCTTTCTGTTTCCATGACTGGGCCCTTCTCTATCCCAAGACAATTATGTCCTTGTAAAGAATAAGGCCACTTAATTAAAAAGTCATGCTTGGGCCAAAACATGGTTTTATAATTATTTTTTAAGGGACAAAGTGCAGTGACAGAAAAAAGCTTCTGAATGTGTAATGCATGCAACATCAGTTAACTGTTATTATCAAAATGACCCTATGCAAGGCACTAAACCAGCACTGGAGATGCTGCTTCTCGAACAAGAGCTACACTGTACGCACACACACACACACACACACACACACACACACACACACACACACACACCTTTCTTACACACCTTGACACACACAAATTAAAAAGGAAAGAATTATGTGATAATGATATACGTACATGTAAATCTCCATTGCACACACACCCAAATACACACTTCACACAAATCACATGTTCTTTTCTTTATATAAAAAAAATACAGTAACACTTCAAAATCCTTAAAACAGACTCGTTCAAATGGACACAGACACATGTAACTCATATAAATGGATGTTTATTTCTTTAAATATCAGATTATAAATTCACTTAAATTTCGTAATAAAAACATTAAAATGCATGTTGAAGCCTGTACTGGATATGAACATGTACACACACACACACGCACACGCACACGCACACGCACACACACTCACATCATGATGTTAATATGACAATATGGTTGGGGTCATCCATATTACCACAATATAACCATAACAGGACAAGAGAAGCTAGGCGTTTGTCAACCAGGTAAAACAGTGAGCAATTCAGATAGACAGTGAAGTTAGGATAATCAATATCATTAAGGGCTGGAAAAAAATGCATTTCTCACTGAGCGGGTAGGGTACATTGTTTATTTTGCAAAACCGTCTTGCTTCCTGCTGCAGCCGTTAACTTTGAGAGCATTGAGGGTGAACGAAACCAGAAAAGTAGTTAAGCAAGGTGAAACATGCTATTAAGCTAAGGAACGTCAAGGGGAGCTGCAGATACATGGAATGATTACCTACAGGTTAACCACTACCAGTGGTACCACTACCAACCTTTAAACAGTTGATACAAGCCTGCCTCTTAATGGAACAACAATGTTCATAAGAACCTTGACTGGGAATTCAGAAGAAGAATCCTCCCCATGCTCTCAAATGTACTGTACAAATGCACACACACACACGCACACACACACACACACACACACACACACACACACACACACACACACACACACACACACACACACACACACACACAGTGTTATCAGGCAGTGCAGCTGTGCTGGTGAATTAGGGCTGCTATCCAGTGTGTGGGCTTGGGCTCAGGCTGGAGGCAGTCGGCTCCATTAGAACTGGAGCTCTACCAAACACGTAGAGACACATCTAGAGAGAATCAATGGGAGAGAGGGAAACTAAAAACTCTTTGTCCCAGTAAGGACGATAGACCATCAGTTCATCAATTTGTTTGAATCCATTTGGTGCATACACACACAGAAAACTGAGGAAAATCACTTTCTGAGGCTTATTCAATCATTAGAACTACAGAGAGAACCACATGACAGAAATAATGTTCTATTGTTTGAGATGAAACGGCTGTATATCCAAGCCAGGACTGTGATATTCCCTTCTCTTCACAACAGAATATGACTCACAGCCCATAATCCCAGTTCAATAAGAGTACCTTTTTAATGGCAAATTCATGCTGGTATGTGTTTTTTTAACCGGTTAATGGTTCCTTGTCCTTCACAACTCACCACATCTTGTGTCACATTATGTGCTTCAGCTAATTAAACACTCACATGGCACATTAGGTTTTCTCTGATCTCTGCAGGTGAACGCATCTGTGACTCTTAGGCATGCACGTGTTTGTGACTTTCCACCAACAGGACATGCCACTGATGCTGTGCTGCCTGCTTTTATCTCCTAGCAACCCCTGCTTTTTTCTCCACTCTTGTCCCCTAGCTTTGGATCAGTCACAGTGCTCAGGAGGGTTTATGACTCAAAAATAATTTTCCACACTGTCACTGCACCATAGAGTAGGTCCACAGGCCCAAAGATGGCCGCCTGTCCTTGAGTTTCATGCTTTACAAGCATATCAGTGGTTACCAAGAATGAGACCACATCACCTCCATCCTTGCATCTTTACATTGGTTCATTTCATCCTTAAATTAATCTATAAAGCATAAATACTGTATTACACCCCTTACTGCACTGTAAACACTCAGATCCATCCACAACCTCTAATGTCAAGAGAAAAATATTCTTTGGGGTTTAGGTGTAGCCAGTCAATATTCGGGGTAAGACTTCCTCTTACATGCGCTGCTCACTGTTTTTGTCCAAATAACAACTTTTGTATGCAAGAATTGCTAAATTACTGTGAGACGATAACTGATTTGTCTCAGATTGCACTTCAGCCTCTTCTGCTTTCCACATGGTCTTTTTGCCTACATTCAACCAAAGCCTGCTCAAATGTAAACTAATCAGATTAGAAACTGAAACCAGAATGCTGACATTACCAAAATGTTGTTTTTCTGTCGCCTAAGGATTCTGCCTTCATTTGC